ATCCCTGTCTGAATGAGCACATGCTGACTGCGCACTCAACTCAAGCTCTTGCGAGGAAGAAGCAGTGGACTCCGCTGTTGTATGCAGAGTTTCATGATCAAGTGTGAAAGCGGCAGCATTATCAAATGATGTTGATGGCTTAAAAAGATGGAGTTGAGTTAGAAGACTCTGAATGTGCGAGTGGTCAATGTCGTTTTCTTTCTCTCTGATTTTCCCTATCTTCATCTCTGGATTTAAACATGATCTATCTCTGTCTCCTGCATAACTCTTGTGCGTTTCTTGTGGTGCATCCTGACTTTGACAAACACTAATTTCAGGCCTGATCTCACACATTTCCTGAACTAAAAGATCTTCAGTTTTGTCAGGAGCTTCGCTTAAGTGCTGAGCTCCATGATCGAATTCTGCGGACAATACGTCTTCATTTAACTCTGTGTTAAAGGATTCGTGTGCCTCAAAGTCTCCCACTGAACAGATTTCGAGTTCTGCAACTGAGCCAGCATCACTGGAAGAGTCGGATCTCCAGTCTAGTGGTGGCGGCTCAATCAGGTTATAAGAATCCAGATCTTCCAATTCAGGGCTCTGCAGATTTTCACGATGATTTGTGAATTCAGGAACATTAGTTGAGTAGCCACAAACATTAGGAGTCAAATGAGCATCATGGACTGAAGCTTCAGCTTGAGAGTTTGAAGCAGCAGGTTGTGAACTCTGCTCCAACTCCAAACCTTCACTGTAGAGAAAATCCTCTGCCATTGCTGGTGGTAATTCTTTACCTCATCCAGGGATTCCCCAGATTCCAGTAATTGGGGTCCTTAAAAATCTTTCATCTTAGCAGAAGAGCCTTGGTTTATGCAGTATAACCTAAACAACAAATTATGAAAGTATTAGCAACTTATACATTTAAAACACACCCAAACTAATTGTAATGATCAAAGATTTAATTAAACCTTTTTTTATTTTTTTTTTTAGGCATGGGACAATAACCGTTTTTAAGGTATACCGTGGTCTGGAAAAATCAACCGCCAAAATTTTCTGCTATACCGTTTCTAAGGAATGTTTTTTTATTTACATTTTTTTTTGGACAACACTATCTCCAGCAGAAGAAAATATCCAAAAATTCAGTTTTAAATTGAAAAGAATCTGTGTTTTTGAAACTAATGAGGATAGCAGAAATCGATGATTAATTTAATTAATCAGCCTGATTTGTTTACTGCTCCAAAACAATTTAAATGTTTCTCAAAATAAAATCCATTGTGTTCAAAAAAAAAGGAGAAAAAGTTTTTGTTTTTTTTACCCAGACTTTTAAAAAGAATATATTTTACAGCAGTATTCACAAGACCGATAAATCGTGAAATTTTTATCCAAGGTTATTATACTGTCAGAATCTTATACCAGCCCATGCCTTAATAGCGAAGTCATCAAAATATGACAAAATGCTTACAAAATATGGCTATTGAGGAATTACGGTCCATTTTTTTCTGTATGTGTAGGGGGTTTAGCAAGTTTTATGAAGGTGGGTTTAAGACTTTAAGAATGAAGGAATTAAGTGAAAAACACATCAGTCTGTTCTCTAAATGCAAATGCCAACAGGCCTGTAGCCAGCCTGGTGAAATGGGTATTTCTTTTCTCTCAAAAAGTCAACCTTTCTGCAATTATACGCCCCATGTTTTCTATATAATAATCAAATTAAAACACTGGATTTTAGTGCCATTTTAAGCACTAATTTGAATTAGCTTGTCGAATGGTCATCATAACCATGTTCTCTGACTATTTTAGCCAAAATAGCATTCAAATCAATTTTAATATGGGCCTCCTTTGGTGCTTCACACCTTTTAATTGGCCTTTTTTGTTGTTGTCAAGAATAAGGTCCAAAACTTGGAATAAAAGTTACTAGTATAAAATGTTTTCTTAACGATACAGTAGCGAAAGATGACTTCTCTTACATCAGATTAGCTGGATGCTGGACTAAAGAAAAATATTTGTTAGTGTTGGCTGAAACTAATTAGCTGAAGTCACACCAAAGCGACAGCCAACAGAGAATTCTGCTTGGTCTTAAATAGATGGGTTATTTTACTATGATGATGTCACAGCAGTCAAAACAGGACAAATTAGCTCATTTGTCAGTGAAGAATGAGTCAAAACTATAAGTCTTGTTTGCTAAATATTTATTAGATAAAATCCTGCACTGGAAAACAAGACTTTTTACTAGCAAGATTTAATGCCACAACTTATCGAGGTAAAGTTAGTTTTATATTGGCATATTCGTTCATTTAACGGTCCCTATGTTGTGTACCTATGCCACTTTGAATATTCAGCAAGTATGACTTAACACTGTTTATTTGACTGTGAACAGTGTTGCACTTTGATAGCCATTGGCTGCTAATATGAATGTCCTATTTAGAATTTGCAAATAAAACTTTTCTGAAATTATATTATTAAGGAGAAAGTCCGAACGTGCGAATACAAAACCAACTTTACCTCACTCTACAACTTTACTACATAAACAGAGTCTTTTTGACCTGATTTAAGAGCTCTTTGTTGTAGAAGCCAGGGCAAATCTAAACTTTTTTAGAAACACTGTGCATTCATCTCATTCGATTTCACAGCCCTGAACTGACTTGATCTAAATAAAATTGTTGTTTCATGACCTTGTTTTACATTGATTTAACTTTACACGGTTGTTCTACTAATTTGCCTCTTTGTAACTCTGACTGTAAAAATGAAGGCTGTAAAAATGACTTGACAGTGCTAATACCAAGGTGATATCCATCTGGCCTGTGATACGATAACAGTGACACAGTAAAGTTTACGTTACGTTTAAGTAAAGTAAATCAGAGTGTGGTCAACAAAAATAAAGTTCATAACGTAATGACGTAATCATCAACAGCTGTGTTGACTTGTGAACGTGGACAGCTCAAAGTGCAGGACACCATACAAACATACAAATATTGAGTTTAAAGAGAAATCAAAGTTTTTAAAACTTAACAGATCTCTCTCTCTCTCTCTCTCTCTCCCACACACACACACACACACACACATGAAAGTTATGTCTATGTTAGGTTTAGTGGTATTGAAGATAACGGCTTAACTTACCTTTTATCTATTACCCTATAAATAATCACAAATCAGTAACACGCAAACTCTGTCCATTCGCTTAAATGGCTGGAGCTTGGAGCCGATCACAAAGACGCAGGGCTATAGTAAAACATTCCTAAAAATCAATGGGATTCATTTTGTGAAGTATTAAGAACTTTGAATCGGTTTTCCTTCTGTTATTGTGCGGCTCAACAAAAAAACTTAAACGTATTTGAGGATCCAACACTGCGCATGCGCATTCGAACAAGACATGACTAATCTATCTATCGATTTGTCTTCAAAAAAATCTGTCAAAAAGGTTTTCAGTGTTTTAAATTTTAAATGGTTCTTACTTTCTACTCAGTAAAATTTAAACTTGCTATATATATATATATATATATATATATATATATATATATAGATATATATATATATATATATATATATATATTACATTGTATACTGTATATATACTGTATACTTATGACTAGATTTAAGCAGCATTTGCTGATTTGCTGAGGGTAAATTACACAATAAAACATTTCTATGTGTGATTTCGAAAATGTCATTCTTTTCGTTGATAATTTGCAGTTGAGATTTTTTCCAAAGAATTTCTCAGAACAATAAAATGAGATTTTGGTGTGCCTTTAGCAGTTTTTTGTGCATGAATGTATGTTTAAATGCATTAAATCATTTCGCTAGCGTGTGAGGTAAAATCCAATAATATTTTAAGGAATGCTTATAATTCATATTTCATACATTTTTCAGACCAACCGACTTTTTGACAAATTGTCCTTGCTTGCATTGCATTGATTTCTTCCCCCTGGATGTAATTAGATTACTCTAAAACATTTTATGAGGAGAACCTTGTGATGACAATGCATTTTCTAAGCCAATAATGATTGTTGGTAACAGTCAGATTGTTTACTTAGTCATTCATTCATTTTCTTTTCGGCTTAGTCAGGGGTTGCCACAGCGGAATGAACCACCAGCTTATCCAAATGACTTATTTTTCATTGGCTCAAGTGGATAAATTTATATTTAACTGGATGAGTGAACATTTTATAGGTATTGTTGTTTTGATCGAAGCTTTTTTTTTTTTTTTTATTGGATGAATGAAAGCTTGAGGGGACACTATTAATGATGGTAAAACACATGACTGTTCCCCTGCTACAATAGTCCATGTGTTTTGGTTATGTCCCAGATAATCTTTATTTTGGTCAAATATAAATATTTTTTAATCTCACTCCAACATTTTTTGTAAAGATGTTTGTGCAAATCCCTTAACTGCTGTCTTTGATATTGTATATGAAAATAACAATTTGTCAAAAAAAAATGAAAATAAAAAAATGGACTGAATTGCAATAGTATCTTGCCTTTACTTCTCCTTTAAATTGCTAGACACTTAATTTGAATCAATTGGAAACAATCATTTCCCTCTCCTTTTAAAGAGTGGGGCAATGATGGTTTGAATTTCCTTAGTTTGGAAAAAATCAGACTTAACTTGATGGTTCCGGGTCCAAGTTCACTGCCATGTGGCGTCCTTTCATAAACTACTTCCAAAGCCAAATGTAATTGAAACTGGACAAAAAGACGCTAATCATGATGCTGTCACGTTTTGCTTGTACTCTACTGATGTTGTCTTCATTTTTTGTCTTTGTATATATTAACATTATATTAAAGCACTGTCTGTGTTTATATGTATGTTGTGTTGTTAGCTAATTGATTTATGAATGTATGTTTTTTGACTATTTAAATAAATAAAAAGAGAGGAAAGAAAACCCTGCACACATATTATCAGGAAAAAAACACATGACAGAGCCAGCAGTCTTTGATGACGAACAACCCTGCAGCAGGTGGCGGTAATGCACCTTGAAGATGTATGTCAAGTTGTACATTTTACAAGAAGGAGAAGAAAACAACAATAATGACTTGATAATGAGTGACGCTTTCCTGTACAAAGTCCACTGACTTCACGAAAGACTGCTGTTAAAAAAAAAGATTAATTTTGAGCCAGTTTAAAAAAGCAAACTTGCTTTTTATATGATTTATATTTTTACATCCTGTATGTAGATGTTCAGCGCCACATCATTGGCTTCTGCAGATGACAATTAAACAGACAAATCATGCAGAGTTCAGTCGAGTCCTTCATAACTGTGCTGGAGTCATACAGAGGAAGAGACAAAGTGGTGAGTTTGTATTTACATGGTTATTAATCATGTACAGTGCTCAGCATATATGAGTTCACCCCCAACAAATCTCTCATTTTATTTAATATTTTCTATAGGAAGCTTTACAATATTATACTTTAGTTTATACTTTAGTTTTTAGTGCATATAAATTAGTTAAGTCAGTACTGGAGCCAAATCTGGAGCTTATCTAAAAAAATAACTCACAATAATAGTTTAAAAAATAGCAGCCCAATTATATAATAAAATATAATAATAATAAATAATAATAAATAACATTAAAAACAGCAAAAATCCAGAGAAACAAAAATATATATACATTTCTGTTGAAATGTAGGTTGTATTTTTTTTTTTTTGCAGTGATTTGCATGAATTTAAATGTATAATCTTTCCATTTCTAAAGATGTTCTGTAGCTAAAATGTTATTTTAATAAATGTATCTGTTTAATAAATCTGTTTTGTTTAAATGCACCAATATTTATTTCCCATATTCACTGAGAAATGGACAAAAATATTCATTTTCAAAATGGGGTGTACTCAATTATGCTGAGCGCTGTAGGTCGCTCGTGATTTTTGAATAATGCTTATATTTGTATAGTTTAATGCTTATAAATAATGTTCACTGCATTAAAAACAAAGAAAAATAGAAATATTTATTAAATATTGTGTATGTGTTTTTATTTATAGAATTAAAATATTGTATAAGAAATTAATTTTCAATTGGTGATATGATATAGGATAGGTAACGGTTGCTTTACTAATTCGCCTCTTTGTAAGTCTGACTGTAAAAATGAAGGCTGTAAAAATGACTTGACAGTGCTAATACCAAGGTGATATCATTCTGGCCAGTGGTACGATAACAGTGACACAGTAAAGTTTACGTTACGTTTAAGTAAATTAAATCAGAGTGTGGTCAACAAAAATAAACTTCATAACACTTATAATACTAAACCCTTTTCCCCTTTATGTAAACTGATAAAACAAAAGAAAAACAGCACTAAAACAATAAAAAAACAAACCAATAAATGAGATCCTTAACGCATTACTGCCTGCTGTACCAAATGGTTGACTATACTTTGACTGTTTAAATAATGACTGTTAAAGAAATGGCAAATAATGCTTTACACACACAGCATTGTTGGCTTACAAAAAATCTAATAAACATAATCCTGTTGCACTACTACACTTGATTATGGATTTATTGTCAAAATAACAAAACAAAAAAACACGTTAAATGAGAATGTGAAATACTTCAAAAAATAAAGATGATTTAGTATTCAAAAATGGTTGATTTTGATTATATTTTTTAATAAATTAGTCTTACTCTTCATATTTTCAGATGTTCCATATGTATTAATTCCGGTGTGGCAGTCGATTCCAAGTGGTGCTCGCTGCAGAGCCATTTGAGGAGAGCTGAGCTCCAGCGAGGGGGAGCATGAGCTTGAGCTCCACCTTTTTTGCACTTCTTCTACGAGTGATGTCACTGGGGGTAGGGTTAGGGGTGGGGTTGGGGTACGCATTAAAACAGCTTACAGGAGGAGGAGCGACAGCTCATGCTCCCCCTCGCTGGAGCTCAGCTCTCCTCAAATGGCTCTGCAGCGAGCACCCTCTCGTCGATTCTGTTCCCTTCTGGAATTCCAGTTCCCCCTCTACGAAGTGTGTCCGCTGACAGCTTATGCAGACACACCTAAACACAACTGGCTGTACGGAAAGCAAAGTGGTTCTAAAAGTACGTATAAGGACTAACATAACTTTAGGCCGACGCACTATATTAAACTAGGTTGAATAAACTCAGAGATTAGAAAAAGCTTAGAACCACAGAAAATACTTAATGGGAGTGTTAGATTAATATTATTACGCTACTTTGGCATTGCAAGACATGAACGCATTGTCCATTTTCGCTTTCCGTACTTCCAGTTGGGTATGTATACCATAAACCGGCATGTCAACCATTTGACAGAGGTTGATATTATAGAAATTATGGGATGTGTTGAACAAAAAATGCATTGAGTGTGTTAACTAGTGACCTTAGGAGTTGAGGCGCTGTTTTTTTATTTCAGTACCGAAATTTAGTATCGTGACAAGTCAAATATAGTGAAAGAATTAGTTTATTAACTTGAGTTTGATAAATGATATCTGAAATGTGTGTTTGGGAAAGACAACGTTAGCTAACTACTGCCATTTAACTTAGCTGGAAGTGAGATCCGATATCCGTTTTTATTTTCATTATCCAATCAAAACAGAAAAGCGTTGAAATGATAAATTGTGTCACTCACTCTTTAATACATACATACAGCCATTCGTTGATAATACATACAGCCAGGTACACAACAATATGCCATTGCACATGCTGTTCCTGTGTGACTCCAGGTGATACTTCTAGGTTTCTTCTCACCGCAGCCTCACTTTCGCTTTTAAAATGGCAGCCGTGTGAAATCAGTCTATTGTCTCTTCTTGTTGAATTGCTGAATGCTTCCTTAATTGTTAGCCGCTTCTGACAAAATCGTCTGCTAAATGACTAAACGTAATAATTATTATAGTGTCATGAGCCCCTTTCACACATACAGACCTTTCCGGAAAATTGCCGGCAATTTTCCGGAAAGGTTGTATGTGTGAACAGGTCCTTTTTGAAAATACCGGTAAATTCGTTCTGGCTATTTTCCGGAAAGAGAAGTTGTAACATTACCGGCAATTTGCCGGAATGCTGCGCTGTGTGAATGCAGAAGGAAGATTCCCGTAATAAGCGCGTGCACGTCTAGAACGTGCTGACGTGAGACTTCTGCTTTAGCCAATCACAACAGTCAGACGCATTTACGTCCGCGCGGTTTGTGAGAATAAAAGCCTTTGAATATTTTTCCAGACACATTTAGCTGCTAGAAGTTAGTCAGATCACGTTTATATGTTCTTCTTTATGCCAACTGTGTAAATAATCATCGATGAGATGCTTATGATAAGCCGTTGTTTGTTTACCTTCAAGCTTTGCGTGTGCCCATGAAACAGCCTGTGAGCGCCTGCACACGCACATGTTATGAACATCTCGACATGCGAAAGTGATCCTGCGAAAGTTGTTCACAATATTGATCATCCACAGAGTCTGTAATTTAGTCAAATGTTTACAAATACAAGCGCAGCCGTTTAAAGCTCATTTCTGGTGAATGATGTCAGAATTTACCGGTATTTTGGAATGGATGTGTGAATGCTCTTTTCCGGAAAATTTCCGTAACGTCCTCGTCTGTGTGAACAGCGCTTTTTTCAATATACCGGTAAAGTCTTTCTGGAAATTTTCCGGATATTTACCGGTATCACTGTGTGAAAGGGGCTATGATCTAAGTGCTGATTCCAGTGTGCAAGCTACATTGTGATTTTATTGTCACTCTTGGCACAGATACGGACCCTCTGCTATGGCTCTCAGCTGGTAGGGGGTGTCCTGTCAGGAAAGAGCCCTCAGTCTTCATTGGGAAAGAGTCTCCTGCTGTTCTCAGCTCAGTTGAGTCACTGCAGAACCACACTCAGGCTCTTTGATGACCTGTCTATGCTGGCGTACTCCTCTGGCTATGGATTAGGAGGCTCGGTGAGGACGCAGGATGGCTCTGTTTAAAAGAGGCATCTGGTTAAGTTAGTAATATTATTCAAAGGTGCAAAATGTGAGATATGTTTAAAGGGGACCTGTTATGCCCCTTTTTACAACATGTAAAACACGTCTCTGATGTCTCTAGAGCAGGGGTGGCCAACCCTGCCCTAGAGTGTGCATGTGTGTATGAAGTTTCAGTTCAAAATACCTCACAAATAATGTTTTATAACTCTTTGAAACTGCCCATCTTAGGCTTTGATCCTAACTGTGCCGTTTTGGTGACTGTCGCTTTCAATTCAAATGAAATTGTGCTGTTTTTCAAAAGAGGGCGGAGCTACAAATGTGTGTGTTAGCATAGTGGCAGATTCAAAAACTAAAGCTGCGTCCCAAATGGCACACTACACTATGCACTCACACACTATGTACTTATGCACTTACACACTCAACAGCAATGTATATGTATGTAGTGTTGTCCTAAATGAAGCACTATTGTTTCTTTTACTAAGCGGAAATTCAAACCGTTTCCCTGATGACGTTTGACGGTTGCCAAATCAGTGAAATAAATGCGCAAACTATCAAATAATACCTGCCGTGAGTATAACCACAAACACCATCGGGGGGCGCTATAATCACTCTCGCAGGAGAAATTTGCTTTCACCATCCAAAACAAATAAAGTTATCCAACATATGTGCCCGATAGCTCCGCCCCTTCCGCTACGTGAGCAAACCTGCGGTCGTTGAGTGCGTGAAGTGTCCATCATTACACACTTCATTTTAGCGGCTGAATGAGTGCATCATCCGGGTAATTAAAGTGCACTTATTACTTTTAGAGTTTTCGGTGTGAACGCACTACTTGCACTATTCATACTACAAAATGGCGTAGAATAGTGCATAAGTATGCGATTTGGGACGCACCTTATGTTGATGAGGCAGAGATCGGCACTAATGGGCGGGGCATTCCCCTCTGATGACACGTTCAAAGGAAGAATTTCAATCAAAGTGTTTCTGCAGACTGTTTTTGTCAAGTGGGATTATAAAGAATAAAAGTAATACATTTTTACCATTAGAAACTGGTTATATTTACAGATGGTTGCCACACAACTGTGTTTAAACCCCTTATAAAAGGGATTTTTGCATAATAGGGTTTTTTTTAAATGGGTTTCTGCCGGCATCAGATTCTTTTATTGAGAACACTTATTCTTCTTATTCCGGCGGTGCTACGGCCCATGTAGAGCCTTCGCCTCTTCCATCACTCCTTTCCAGCCTTCCCAAACCAAAGCCTGCATTCTCCAGACATGAACTCTTAGAGTACGTAGATCATCTTCTACGTCATCTAACCACCTCTTCCGTGGTCTACCACAGAGGTTCTCAAAGTGGGGGTCGGGACCCCCCGAGGGGTCGCGGGACAATGAAGGGGGGGGTCGTCTGGTGATTTTCAAAAATCAATTAATTTTTATTAAACCTCAAAACCTACCGTATTTTATCAATTACCTACTAATGAGAAAAAATAGTTGTTTATAGTTACTATAAACTATATAGTTACTATAGTAGCTTATAGTTACTAATTCTATTGGATTGCGACTTCTCGGGTAATTACATTATACTAAAGACACAGCAATACTGTCAGATGCAGCAGATTTTGTAACACCAGGTTAAACTTTCTAGCCCATTTACAGCACTGACATACATAAAAAAAACAAAGAATAGACTTGGGTCTATTGGTGTGTGTGTGCGCGTCATTGCATACAAGGTTTCTGTATTTATAACCACCACCTCAGAGAATATTGGGGGTCACGAATCACTGACATTCTCATTTTAGGGGTCGCGGGCTGAAAAGTTTGGGAACCCCTGGTCTACCAGGACGTCTGCTTCCTTCTAGTTTTAGCTTGTATGCTCTTTTAACAGCTCTTTGTTCAGGGAGCCTCTCTAAATGGCCCAGCCATCTTATGCGGTTCCTCTTTATTTCCGTGACCAGAGATTACTTGCTGAAGCTTTAATCATGATGTACGGTATTATCAAGATAGTGACCAAAGCTGCAACTATATTTTAATTGTGATTTAATGTAACTAAGAAATTAACATTCATAAATTGCTTAATAAAGTGGACCTATTATGCAAACATCACTTTTATAAGGGGTTTAAACACAGTTGTGTGGAAACAGTGTGTGAATCTATCCAGCCTCTAATGATGCAAATGAATTAATTCTATTTTTTTATAATCACACTTGATAAAAACTGTCTGCAGAAACACTTTGATTGACATTCTTCCTTTGTACGTGTCATCAGAGGGAGGAAGCCCTGCCCATTTGTGAGCATTGGCATAAGCAGCCCTAATTGAGAAGCAGCCATCTGTCATTAGATTTTTAGCACTTGTTAAAGATAATTTCAAAAAGAGGACTAGGAGCACAATCTCATTTGAGTTTAAAGCGACTGATTTAAGTGAGGTGAGCCTTGTCAAGTATGGTTCAATGGTGTTTTTCCTCAGGAGGAAGATGCTCGGGTGCGCTGGATGTCTGTTCTGAGTAACGTAGCTGATCAGTTGTATTATCCCTGTGAGCACATCGCCTGGGCCGCAGATGCAGAGCTCATCAAAACTAAATCTGACCGCTGGTGGGTGCTGAGCACAGGCCTCTGGGGTGCATCGCTGGTCCTCGGCATACTCAGGTGAAGGCCGAGAGCAGACAGGACAATATGTACATATACTGTATACACAGTCTTGTGGAAAAGTTGCCACATTCTATTAAATCCAATGGTTTTCTGTATTAGTATGTAACAATAGTAAAAAGAAAAAAACTCAATTATAAAACTTTGTGTAGAAACCTGCCTAAAAGGGAATGTAGGCCAGAATACATTGTTTTTATTTATTAATAATTATGGCTCATATGATGTATTAAAGTGGTTCAATCACGTCCGTATTTTAAGATAAATATTTATAATAAAAGTTTACTTGCAGCATCGTGGGAAGTGGCAGATGCATGATATCCAGATGAACAGCATATCACACTTTGTCATTATTTTATTCATTAATTTTCTTTTAGGCTTAGTCTCTTTAGGGGGATGCCCTTCCAGCCGCAACCTATCACTGGGAAACATCCACACACACTCATTCACACTCATACACTACGGACAATTTAGCCTAGCCAATTCATCTGCAGCATGTCTTTGGACTGTGGGGGAAACCGGAGCACCTGGAGGAAACCCACGTAAACGCAGGGAGAACATACAAACTCCACACAGAAACGCCAACTGAGCCGAGGCTCGAACCAGCGACCTTCTTACTGTGAGGCGACAGCACTACTTACTGCGTCACCTTTGTCTTTATTTGTTTAATATAAATAATGCCGATACGGAAAAGCCAAAGGTGGTAATCTTAAGACACTTAACATTTAATTGCATGTAGATCCACTTTTAGCAGCAATTACTTAAATAAGCATATTCTGAATTCTCATGTGGAGTTAAGGAAGTAATATTATTTAAAATAGTAAAAATAAAATAAATAATAATAAACTGAAATTAATAATATATTATTGATTATGGATATATAATTGAAATATAAAATATACTAAATAAAATAAAAATATTCCAATTTTATTTGTTGCCAAGACAACATTTCTCTTTTTTTATTTAGTTAAATCTTTGAACAGAAAGTCACTACATAAACAAATCGCCACAGATGTCAAAAACAAATACATGAGATTAATTAAACTTTCAAATTAAAATTGTATTGAATTAAAGGTGACAATAATGAAGGGATACTCTACGTCTAATGAGTTGTTTTCACAGAATAAAGCCTGACAGGCTTAACAGCAGTTATTTTATGTCAGGCTGTCGATAAGTCTGTCAGACTTTATTCTGCGATAACAACCACAGCTAGATGTGCTTTTCCTTTTATATAATATGTAAGAATGACTTTATAGTCCAATCAGCATCAAGTAATCCAAAGACCCATGCAATTAGTTAGATTAAAACTAATTTTTATATTTAAAAAGTATAAATAAAAAAATAGAAATACTGTATTACTGCACATTGTTGAAATAAATGCAGCCTTCGTGAGCTTAAGAGATCAATTGTGTGCAGCTTATTTTGGTGTCTTCATTTTATATATATATATATATATATATATATATATATATATATATATATATATATATATATATATATATATATATATATATATATATATATATATACATACAGTTGAAGTCAGAATTATTAGCTCCCCTGAATTATTAGACCACTTATTTATTTTTTCCTCAATTTCTTTTGAATGGAGAGAATTTTTTTTCAGCACATTTCTAAACATAATAGTTTTAATAACTCATTTCTAATAACTGATTTATTTTATCTTTGCCATGATGACAGCAAATAATATTTTACTAGCTATTTTCAAGACACTTCCATACAGCTTAAAGTGACATTTAAAGGCTTAACTGGGTTAATTAGGGTAACTAGGCAGGTTAGGGTAATTGGGCAAGTTATTGTACAACAGTGGTTTGTTTTGTAGCCTCTAGATCTACCAGGAGTGATTTTAGCTCAGCTTAGCATAGTTTATTGAATCAGATTAGACCATTAGCATCTTTAACAAAACTGAAAAAAAAATATGTTCTTTAAATAGTGTTTTCTGTTTTGTAAATATGGCAGTGTTTTTGGTACGTGAACTGTTGTTTTTAACTGAATTATTGAAAGTTATTGTTTCCAAAAAGTTTTTATTTTTATTTTTATAAACTTTAATGTCACAAAGCTTTGTTTTTCAGATCCATTAGGTCTATCCTGATTCTGAAGCGAAAAGCACAGAAGTGTCACAGATCAGGTTCAGCTGAGAGCAGGTGGGTGTTATTATTTATGTCAGAATGTTAATGTTTCCATTCTCACAGCTTACTGCGGAGCTTTAAACAGAAATGAACACAGAGCGGCTCATTGCGTCTGTTTGTTAGGGAGGAAGTGTTTTCTCAGAAAGCTGCGCTGAAGAGGCAGATCAGAGCTGAGCTGTTCAGCATCCTGAGTAGTTCAGCTGATCTCTGCAATGCCGTTCACTGGATGCCGCCGGGATTTCTGTGGGCTGGACGCTTTCCTCCATGGCTGGTGGGACTGATGGGAACGGCCTCATCACTGATAGGCCTTTTACAGACGAGCTCTGCTGATCAAGGAGCATCTTAGTGAACTATTACACTGCAAAGAAATGCTTACTTTTGATTTTGTCTTGTTTCTACGTCAAGTATTTAAATATTCTTATATCAAGAAGCACTTTTTAGACAGTATTTTTTGAAGTAGAGTCAAAATTAAGTGGAGTTTTACTTAAAACAAGCAAAATAATCTGCTGGGGTCCGTTCTTCGTACCTCGCTTAAATGATCTAAGATGATTTGGCAGATCCTGGATCTTTTCATCTCGATAACTCATCTCTCGCTAATTTGGTTCTTCAAACAAGTTCGCGAATCAGATTAGAATGTCTGGATGAACTGATCTGAGATCGCTGCATGTGTCGTGAAGGACTGATCTATCGATCCTCGAAATCATGATCAGCAATGCGACGATTGGCTGACGGCAGCGTAATGACATCATCTGATTAATATTCAATTATCCATGTGAGCAAAATTACATCAAATTAGCAGTAAACGGCTTGTTAAATATGACACGCAATAACCTTCCACATTTGTTGTGAGCTGCAGGCTTCACACTTTCATGCGTCAAGAGTATTCATCATGTATTTCAATGCAAATCAATGTATTTAGTTCTACATTTAGAAAAGATTTTCTTTATTATAGTAGCCGCTTTTTAATCGGTGTAAAGAATAACTGGATGTTTACAAAAGCATTTTGATATTGGTAAAGGTGTCTGCAACTTTTGAGAAGCATCAAATCACTGGCATATTAACTATCAAAACATGTTTATGACTACAAATGTATTATTGCTTTTTAAAAAAAAGTCTTAATTTAAAAATTTACAAATATTGTGCATTTCTATTATACACAAATTGTTCTAAAGCGATCTAAAAAGTTCATACCAATAAGTTTTCTCTTTGCACCACCAGGTGGCAGTCTTTGTACTTTTATTTCGAGGGTGCAGATTGCATACGTTTTATTAATATGTATAACTCTATTTATTTTGTTAATAACTATAACTTTGTATATATAAAATAGTTACTATTTTCCCAAGTGTATATACCTACTACTGTAAGAAAATATCAGTATTTGGTACATACTTTCAGTATTTTCTTTGCATGAACTGAGCCGATCTAATCCTGTTTATATGAATTGAGCCTGCTGCCGAGCAGGTTTGAGCTAGCAGTACTGTTGCTATGACAACAGCTCTCGGATCAGCTTTGAAGACCGAAACGATCCTGGATCGTGTCACATCGCCAACATCCAAATCCAGCTAACTGAGTAATCCACGTACGAAGAACGGACCCCAGATGGGGTAAGATAAGTAATCTTATCTCAGTGAAAATGGGATTAGTGTTTGCTTACCCCATTGGCAGATTATTTTGCTTGTTTTAAAGAAAAAAAACTCTTAATTTTGACATTAATTTGATAAACAATAGAATATTTTTGCTTGTATGGAGAATGTTTGCTGATTTTAAGAATTTTTAGATATTTGGACTAGAAAAACAAGTAAGAAAGGCATCTTTCACAGTGAACTGAATGACTACACTGCATTGCTGATTACAGATCTGTTACTTTGTGTAATGTAGTTAACCGATAATTGTGTAATTGAACATTGAGCACTTTATACATCCTAATGCTAAATCTGTATTTGGAAATGTTGTTCATTTCTACACATGTATATGATTTAAATAATGTTATGTTTAATTGTGTATTTATTTTTAAAATGTAGATTTTTTTTAATAATGTGAGGATTCTTAATTGCAAAATAAAGTAATTTTTACACTAAATAAGTCATGAAAAGTGTTCATTTAATCAATTAAGTCATTTCATTCATTCATTTATTTTCCTTCAGCTTAGTCCCTTTATTCATCAGGGGTCACCACAGCAGAATGAACCGCCATCTTATCCAGCAAATGTTTTACGCAGCTGATGCCCTTCTAGCTGCAACCCAGTACTGGGAAGCATTCCTACACACTTATACACTATTAGCTTATTCATTTCACCTGTACCGCATATGTTTAGACTGTGGGGGGAAACAGAGCACCCGGAGGAAACCCACGCCAACACAGGGGAACATACAAACACCACACAGAAATGCCAACTGACCCAGCCAGGGCTCGAACCAGCGGGCTTTCTTGCTGTGAGGCGACACTGCTAAGCCGCCGTGTCGCAGTTAAGTCATTTTTACAAACTAAATAGAAAAATCTGTATTTATTATCATAATTATTACTAGTAAAACCACGTTTACAAGTCAACAAAAAATAAGAACAGTTTTACATTACAAGATTAATGTATGTTATTCTAGAGATAGAGTTTTTAGTATTTAGGCCTCCAGAGCCTGAAACAATTTACAAATGTCAGAAGCAGTGCTCACATACACACAAATAAAAAAAATCACATTTAATATATTACATCTTTTAATAACTTTTTCAACAATGTAAAATCTCATCTCAATGTCACAAAATGCTTCTAAATCATCATATTTACACAAATCTTTTCAGTTTTAGGTTTCGTCGTGGTGCAACATTATGTAGTCCTATTTGATTTTGTGATCCTGATTGGTCCTCGTGCTTGCAGTCAAATTGGCTGGCAATCGATTGGCTCACAGACAGAACCTTATATAGCCAAGCGAGAGTTTGACTTGTAGATAAAACCTTTTTTTGTTTTTTAAATAAAAAGTCTTAAAATGTAAACATAAAATAAACCATCCCATCATGTTATTCAGTTGTCATTTAACAAGAAAATGTCAATAACTCAATTTTCTCAATAATGTCAGACAGAACCTTATAATTCTAAGGTGACGATTTGTCCTCAGGACATTAAATGTTCGATTGCGTAAACATTAATAATAATAAAACAAAGATCATGTGGGTTGGCAAAGAATTGCTCTGTTGGCCTGGCTTTACATTTGAAGTGTTTGTTAAAAAAACTGAAGTAAAATATCTGTAAGAGTAAAATACAAGTAAATAACAGACCACAGAATAAAACGAAAAATATGAAGAAAGCTTTATTCCAAGTGAACAGTGCTGTGCTTCAGTCTTTATACTTCTCTAAAAACATCTGAGATGATTTGACAGATCCCGGAAAAATGTTTAATGGCTAATTTGGTTCATTCATTCATTCATTCCTTCCCTCCTTCCTTCCTTCATTCAATCCTTCCTTCCTTGACTCCTTCCGTCATTCATTCATTCCCTTCTTCCTTCCTTCATTCATTCATTCCTTCCTTCCTTGACTCCTTCCTTCATTCATTCATTCCCTTCTTCCTTCATTCAATCCTTCCTTACTTGATTCCTTCCTTCATTCATTCATTCCTTCCTTCCTTGACTCCTTCCTTCATTCATTCATTCCCTTCTTCCTTCATTCAATCCTTCCTTACTTGATTCCTTCCTTCATTCATTCATTCCCTTCTTCTTTCCTTCATTCATTAATTCCTTTCCTCCTTCATTCATTCAATCCTTCCTTCCTTGATTCCTTCCTTCATTCATTCATTCCCTTCTTCCTTCCTTCATTCATTAATTACTTCCCTCCTTCCTTCATTCATTCATTCCTTCCCTCCTTCCTTCATTCATTCCCTTCTTCCTTCCTTCCTTCCTTCATTCATTCCTTCCTTCCCTCCTTCCTTCATTCATTCCTTTCTTCATTCCTTCCTTCATTCATTCCTTCCCTGCTTCCTTCATTCCTTCCCTGCTTCCTTCCCTTCTTCCTTCCTTCATTCATTCCTTCCTTCGTTCATTTATTCCTTCCCTCCTTCCTTCGATCGTTTGTTTGTTAATTTGTTCATTCAATATTCAATCATCCAGCTAACAGAGTAATCTACATGTAGAACAAACCCCAGTATGAAGAATTGTTTCTGGTTGTTAAAAATGAGAGTGAGAGAGAGAGAGAGAGAGAGAGAGAGAGAGAGAGAGAGAGAGAGAGAGAGAGAGAGAGAGAGAGAGAGAGAGAGAGAGAAGAGAGAGAGATCTAGCGGTATGCAAGCATCTCCATCATAATTACAAAAATGTCAGACTTTTTTTTTTCTTCTGTTTTTCAATAGTAATAATAATAATTATAATGTTCCACATAATTTGTTTATACAATGTAAAACGCTTTGAGCTTTAGTATCACTCAGCCATTCACAACAGAAAAAGATTTTCAGCATCTCTTTACTTTCTCAGGTAAAAACACTTTTGCATGGAGGATGAGAGCATCTTCAGCGAGCAGGTCAGCTGTCGTCATTGTCATATATATCTGCAAACAAACAAAAACACAAACAATACATAAATCATAAAGATATCGCATTTAGTTGCTAATGTATAATGCAAAATAAAATGTTCCCACGTATTGAACAAAAGCTGGCATAATAATAGTGGAAAAATGATCAACCTGAAGAAATTTCAATGTCATCGTAAACATCACTCTCCCTTTAAAACAGGAAACAAAACAAAGGATTAGACAAAAAACAAATAATAAAACTATTAAATTATTCAAATGAATGAATTTAGTTATACACACTCAGGTAAAAGGTAATCCAGGGGTACATATCCATCTGTGGAAAGAGAAACAGAATATTTCATACCTCTATGCGACCAAATCAGACATTTCTCTCTCAGCGTTATCAATTTTTAATTCAATAGCATAACTCATCCAGCAGGTGGTGTGTTTGACTCACATTTGCCATCATTATTTCGGCACAGAACTTGTTTCTTGCTGGTCTCCTGTAGAACCTCCAGAATCTCTCCACGGACCACTGGTAGGTCATTGCTCCCGCGCTTCTTCAACATTGCATTGGGATCCACCGTCATGGTGTACAAAACTCGAATAGGCCCCTCTAACTGTTGAATACATTACAAACATTTATATTTTATTGGAGTTAAGAAACCCCGGAGGGCTTGACAATGATCAAAGCAAATGCAGGCCTGTAGCCAGCCTGGTGAAAGGGGTACTGCTGAAAATTCCAGCTTAGGCTGGTTGGCTGGTTTTAGCTGGTTGACCAGCCTGGTTTTAGAGGGGTTTTGGCCATTTCCAGGCTGGTTTACAGGTTATTCCCATCCTGGTCTTAGCTGGTCAGGCTGGAAAATTACCAGCTAAACCCACCTTGAACAGCCTGGTTTAAACTGTACATAGCTGGTTTTGGCTGGACTCCCAGCCTGGCTAGGCTGGTCAAGCTGGTTTTAGCTGGTCATCTCCCAGCCTGATTAGCTAAGACCAGACTGGAAATGGCTGGAAACCAACCTGGAAGTGGCCAAAACCCCTCTATAACCAGGCTGGTCAACCAGCTAAAACCAGCCAACCAGCCTAGGCTGGTTTAAGCTGGATTTTTCTGTAGGGCCGTGGTTCTTTTTTTCTCAAAAAATGGGCCTTTTTGCAGTTATACGCTTAAGCTTCAATTTAACTATGAGATTTAAATACTGCATTTTAGTGACTTTTTTTTTTTTTTTTTGCGGGATTAGCTCGTCAGATGTCATCATAATCCCACTTTTTGATGTACCAAAATTGTTTACTAAAAATTTGCAATAAGGAATAATTAAAACAAGTCTAGTTTTTAAAATAAAAATTTATTGCATTTATCATTAGGAAAAAATAGGAATCTGTTCAAGTTTTAAAGTTAAAAAAATGTAGTCTACTGTCATTTTTTAGACGTAAAACAAACTGGTCAAAATTTGGCCATTTTAATAAGAAATTGTAATTGAATAATTGTAATAATAAATAAATATATTATTAAATAATAATAATAACAACCACAATAACAATATGCGGTTCAATCTGCTGTGGCGACCCCAGTTTAATAAAGGGACTAAGCCAAAAAAATTAATGAATACAAAAAAATTTAAAATAAATAAATAATAAAAATACAACAATAATGAATTCTTCTGAATTTTTCCCGCCTCTTTGGTAAAAAAAAAAGTACATTTGAAAATTCCTGGATATTAACAACAGCCAAAAAATATTCAAATTAATGTAATATGGTCCGCTTGTGGTGCTTCACACCTTTTTATTGCTCATTTTTATTTCAGAAATAAGGTCTAAGATTTAGAATAGAAGTGACCAGTAAAATGTTTTCTCTGTTTAAAAACAATACAGTAGCGAAACAAGACTTTCCCTACTGTCAATGGGATTCGAATCACTGGCCAGAGTTATTTAAAACAACACTTTATTACAATATATATTAAATATAAATTATTTAATTAATTAATTTAATTAAATATATTATATTAATTATACAAAAAATATTATAAAATGTTAAATTACATAAAATAATTAAAAGGACAAATTCTGGACCTTTTGGCCATGGGACCCCCCACCTGGCTATGGGCATGAAACGTGTGAAATAAAAACAGACACAAGTAAACAGATGCACCTTAAACTTCTTTCGAATATTTTTCTCTTCCTTCTTGGTCAATTTCGGATCGTGGCTGCAAACAAAACGTGTTTAAATTAGTAACACAATCATGTTCTGAAGTCAAAAGGCATGTAATGATGTTTCTTTATATAATTAATGATAAAAATAAATCATACTTGATCAGTAATAAAAAAACACACATGGTCTATTAGAGGAAATAACTATGATAGTTTTCAGCAGTTATCTATAAACATACGAGTCAAAATAAGTTTGTGATTTGTTTATAGCACAGTAAGTTGAAGAGAGAAACAACAATGTGATATTAGTACACTTGAGCTAATCGTGTATCTGCTTCATGTTTCACAAGTTCTGTATTTGCCAAGGTTTAACAATTAATCCTGCGTATTCACACATTTGCATTCCTAATCCCCAGATAACTTTTTTTTTATGTGAGTGTGTCACTGTGAACCTGAATGTAAATTGTTTTCATAACCCGACTCATCCTTATGGTACATTCTACAAGAAACGTACATTATCTGTCCCTGAAATAAAAACATAAATACAGTGAATAAAAAGTATTTCATCCCAAAAATGGTTGATTTTTTTCTTTATTAAAAACACTTTACAAATGTAAAAACCTTGTCCTCAGTCCAATTGAACCTACAGCTTTAATAGTTTTTGTTATGCTAAAAACTGTTATTTAGGGAAAAAAACAAACTTCCGAAATAGCATGTTTTAAGTTGTTATTATTCACATCAGTTGATTAAAAACATGAAATTATAAGTAAATTCCACAAATAAATAATATTGTGCCCATGTTTCTGTCAGTCCTGTCACATTTGCATTAACGTTAACATAAAATGCATGCAATACACATTTAAGGCCGTGGCTCAGTAGATAGGACATCATTTGATGGAGGAGAAGCTGACTGATCAAAGATGCATTCTAGCATTGAATTGTATGTGTTTATGTTTGTTTGTGTAATTTTTTTGAGGACATCAAGCTTAAAGGTCAATGACTTTCACTTAAAAAAAGTGAAAATGCACGTTTCTGGTATAATGTCCCCTATATATAATATATAGTTGAAGTAAGAATAATTAGCCCTCGTTTGAATGTTTTTTTTTCCCAAATGATGTTTAATAGAGCAAGCTAATTTTCACAGTAAGTCTGATAATGTTTTTTCTTCTTGATAAAGTCTTATTTGTTTTATTTCAGCTAAAATAAAAGCAGTTTAAAAAATTTTAAACAACATTTTAAGGACAAATTTATTAGCCCCTTTAAGCTATATTTTTTTCTCTACTGTCTACAGAACAAACTATAGTTATACAATAACTTGCTTAATTACGTTGATGTTTAGGTTGCGTTGGAAAGTGACCAAAATCCAATGTCTGATAGATGTCACAGTGGTAATGTCCAAACAGCGTTAAGGTGTAACATGATTAGACGTTGATATTTGGTTGATTTTAGGTTAGACGTTGAACATTGATGTCGGCCTGACATTAAGTTCTGATGTCAACTCGATTTTTATTTTCAAACAAAATCCAACGTCCCCATGACGTTGGAGTCCAACATCAGTTTGACATCATGTTGACGCCGTGTGCCTGCAGGGAAATTTAGGCTGTGCATTCTGCATCCTAATTCACATCAAATTTTCAAAAACCCAGGCTATTATTATTATCTTTACTCTAATCATTTGTATTTTGTAGTTTTTGAATGATTGACATTTAATGTACGTAAGAGTACAACCCACTAAACAGGCTGTACATGTCTTTTCTCAGCCTCATTTCCAGATGTGTAAAGTGATGGTCTAAAACTGAGGTCTATTTGTTAAGAAAATGATAATAAAGAGAATAGAAACCTGATCTCTGGAGGGGGAGGAGGAAAGTCATGGTCCACGTCATCATATACATCTGAGAACAGCAGAACCCAAAACATGTCAATGCAGTGCAGAAAAGTCAAGATATATCCAGCTGCAGGCCTGCGGACCCACTCATTTCAGGCCACTACATCCAGGCCGAAGAGCATCATATATAGGTAATAGGCCCATCCGGAATCTGTGCTCGCAGAATTTCGCATATTTTTAGGCCATTAATAATTCTGTTTATTTACTTGAGTAAATGCGTGTAAATCTATATTTATTCCGTTTTTTTAAATTCATTTCAGTAATATTATTGACTAATGTGAAAATGTTCATCTGATTGATGTACAGTGCAGTGTGTACAGTAATATTTTCTGTCTTTTACTAGATATATTATTTGACAAACTTGCTTTATTTACCAAATAAAGTGGATCTAATTGGATTTGCATTTTAAACATTAAATAAAAGTTAAAAAGATAGTATTTTTTATTTCATATATTAAGGTTTTAGTTATGATACTCCCAAAATAATACCCCAGAAATCCGCAGACATGTACCAAAATTCTTCGCAGAATTAGCAAAAAACGTCCGCAGATTCTGTCTGGCCCTAGTAATATTAGTCGCTGTTGTGTATCATTAAATGCATGCTTTTTGTACAGTATTACTAACAATACACACAATACTACAAATATATCTTTTGATTTTTTATTGATGTTCATTTTGATCATCCGTAACATATTTGACTGTAGGTTATGAGATAATTACTTTGTGTTTGTTCAACCAACTCCCTTGTGTTTAACTAGATTGCTGGTGATAGTGATTGTGGTTTACTACCCCTTACTGTCACAATCACCAGCAATCAAGTCTATACAGATCACTGGAGAACTACAAATCTATCACCAAAAAAACTACAAATCCTGTCATGCACCTCACACACCTGTTCCGGTTCTCCTTTGATGCCACACACGGCCGGGAGCTGCTCAAGGACTGATTACAGTGACTATATATACTGCACTGTTTGACACACTTTGCTGAGTCTTGTTTGATTTATACTTTGTTAGGTTTAGGACCGGGGTTACAATGTGACCTGCTCACCTAATGCTTGCATTTGTAATATTTAAATTATCTGCTAATTAAGATCCTCATGTGGAACTCTGAATCTGCGTCTCATTTTGGAGTCTGCTACTGTAAACCGGAGGTCGCATTTTGGTCACGGATGCATGCTTTTAGAGTCTTTCTGACTGACTGAATGAAATACGCTGTTTTCCACCAAGGCAAGCCAGGCTGCTGAAATATAATTGGCTAAACTGGCAGTGGGCGGGCCAAAAGAACCAAAGCAAACACGTTCCGGCACATAACGCACATTTTCAAAGCAGCATATCTGACTTCAGCAAATAAAGTATGTTCAATTAGCATGTTTCCTAAATATCTGCAAACATATAATAGTATATATATATTTTTTGCTTTAGAAGAGTCAAAAACGTACATACAGCACCTTTAATTTGTGTATAACCTGCTCTTCCACAAACCAAACACTCTGCCCTTTCTAAAAGTACCAAACTTTATATTTGTTTTTTTCCACCTCTTCATTTACAGACTACAGGTGCACGATGCATCTCTGTTGTTAATCACTGCTATATTATATTAATTTACCAAACAAATTAGATTTTTAATGATTAATGACTGGTCAGAAACAGAATGAAAGTAAATAAATAATTAATTAAAACAAACATCTCAATTGGTCTGTGGCATTGCTGTGAGTGTTGGATTTGTGATGTTATACCCAATTCATAGTCCATAACGTGCTCTCACATGTTTATTTTTACATTTTGGGAGAAGTAAAATTTGCATACAGCATTCAAAAATCCTGTGTGTGGTTTTAAAAGCCAGATGCATATCATTTAGATTAGGCCAGTTCCGTTTTGTCTGGAGTGCGTTTTAGAGCACCTCGTGGAGTGATGAGTGATTAGATTTACAGTTGAAGTCAGAATTATTAGCCCCCTTTTAATTTTTTATTCTTTTTTAAATATTTCCCAAATGATGTTTAACAGAGCAAGGAAATTTTCACAGTATGTCTGATAATATTTGTTCTTCTGGAGAAAGTCTTATTTGTTTTATTTCGGCTAGAACAAAAGCAGTTTTTAATTTTTTATTAGCCCCTTTAAGCTATTTTTTTTCTTGATAGTCTACAGAACAAACCATTGATATACAATAACTTGCCTAATTACCCTAACCTGCCTAGTTCACTTTATTAGCCTAATTAAGCCTTTAAATGTCACTTTAAGCTGTATAGAAGTGTCTTGAAAAATATCAAGTAAAATATTATTTACTGTCATCATGACAAAGATGAAATAAACAGTTATTAGAAATAGGTTTCTAAAACTATTATGCTAAGAAATGTGCTGAAACAATCTTCCCTCCATTAAACAGAAATTGGGGAAAAAAATAAACAGGGGCGCTAATACGTCAGGGGGGCTAATAATTCTGACTTCAACTGTATATCCGTCTTGAATGCAATTCGGAGGGCATTTACACTTGTCCTTTTCATGATCAGCTAGCTATGCAATCAGAAAAAAACTAATTAAGTGACCACTGACCAGGTTTAAACAAGAGCCATAAGCTGCGTCTGAAATCGCATGCTTTCATACTAGACAGTATGCGAGCTGAGAAGTATTTCTGAATTATGTAATTTGGAAAACAGTATGCGAGAAGTACCGGGATGACCTTCCGGCGAGATTCTGAAGTGCACATCCAATTGATGCAACACTATCCCATGATGCACCTCAAAAGAATTCAAGAAAAGGAGTGAAGCGACGCAACTGACATGGGTAGGTCATGTGATGACGACAAAATGGTGATGTAGCACGCCCAAGTTCCATTCATACTACTGACATCTATACTGTATAGAACGTAATTTTCTAGCAGCAGAGTAGCAGGTTTTATAGGGTTATCAAAATGCGGACAATTCGGTATCGGTTCAGTAATAATCATAACCGGTTATTATGTACTGACGTCATTTATCTCCTATGCGCTCTGTCGCGAGGGAGGTGAGCGTGGGTATTTACAACACTCAGGAGCTAACTCAGGGCCGACCCGTGGCATAGGCAGTATAGGCAAATGCTAAGGGCGCTGTACATCCAAGGGGGCGCCAGAAATGAGCGCGGTCAAGTTGCTTTTGTTTTCGATATTCCTGACACATTCAGTTATAGACGGCAATAACTCAAGCTCCAGAATCTTTTGCTCTCAGCAGTCACACTTTTTTAATTAATTTATTTATTTACTTGACCACAGCCTTTTTATTCATTATTTTACCGCAGCTCTACTCTTTTTATCTTTTTTCTCGCAGCTCAGTGAGCAAGTTGCAGCCTGCAGGTTAATGATGATATAACATCGATGAGACGTAACACCGAACAGCAATTGTGGTTCAGTGGATAGCACGTTAATTTACGATACGGCAGACCTGGGTTCGATCCTCGTCTGAGTAATTTTTTCCATTTTTATTGTTGAGACATATAATACTGTTTGGGTTGTTGAACATTTTAAGTTCTAAAGCAGCTGTTTTCTCAAAAAAAGACGTGATAGTGTCATTAGAAACTGATTTGGAAATGACCTTATTTTAATATAGTCAGTCGTGAACTGAGGTGGGCCGGTCTGAGGCTTGAAACTCCAGGGCTGAAAAGGAGTCCCACTACGGCCCTGCCTCTTACCCTAAAAAGATCTAAAGTGTGTTTCCAACAAAAAGACAAAGCTGGTTATGTTACACAGCTGACTTTTTCTTTTTTTTGCTCGACATTACGACCACTGCTCCGTTTAGGCCCTTGCAATATGCGTTTAGCCGGGAAAGCTCGCGCTTAGCGGAGCTCTCAGTAAGGGACCGTCGGAAAAGTACTTCATTTTCTTCATTTTTTTTTTTTTGTGTGTGTGTGTTTGTGTTTGTTTGGTGCTGTCTATGTTTGTGTATGTGTGTGAATGGGAGACAGTGTGGTGCTGTGTGTGTGTGTGTTTATATTGTTATAGCCTCCTCCCAAAATATAACACTGTGTATGGAAAGCATCGTCAATGCACCGTGATGCACCGAGAAATCGAATTGAACCGAATCGAAGGCATGATAATCGTAACTGAACCGAACCGTGAGACCAGTATAGGTTCACACCACTAATGTTTAAATTCAAATGCAGTACCTACTAAGTAGTAGGCGATTACGAATGCAGTCTATGAGAGAATTGTGACAACGGAAGTTCAAAATGTTCAGTAGTCATGTGTTTTATGTAGACTCAAACAGTTCCAGGAAGTGCTTCACGGTTAATTCAAATAATTAAAGATAACTATCTTAGTTTTAGAAACATTGTCCCTTTCAAAAGTGCAAAACCAGCCAACTCTTAAGTAATTTAGGCTGTGTCCCATTTTATCTAGTGAATGAGGGAAACTTACAGTACATGAACATACCCTCGATCCCTAAATTTTGACAGGGAGTGAGTCGGCTTAATATGTTGACTACAGCACTTATATGTCCTAGAATTCATCACAATTGTGATGTCACAACACTGCACTTTCCAGATGCTCAACGGCTTAGGGCAGGCATGTCCAAACTCGGTCTTACAGGGTTGGTATACTGCAAAGTTTAGTTCCAACCCCAATCAGATAGACCTGGGATAGCTAATCAAGTTCTTACTAGGCTTTCTAGAAACATCCGTGCAGGTGTGTTGAGGCAAGTTGGAGCTAAAATCTGCAAGACACCAGCCCTGCAGGACAGAGTTTGGACATCCCTGGCTTAGGGCATTCCATTTAACCCCATTCAGATGTTCTGCCTGAACATGGACACTATCGTGGTGTAATCAATGGTGTACATCCGAAGATGAAATAAAGTTAGAGCATAAAAATATAGCGTGGTATAAAGCGTGTGGGTCCGCGGGTCTGCAGCTGGACATATTAGAGAAGTCTTATCTCTGAATGTAGAAGTCGGTGTGTTGTGTACCTACCATCACTGTAAAAACTGCTGTAAAGAGAAAAAACACAATATGAGCACAAACCTTTCAGTCATTTGAAAGCAGCCACTGTTTTACCCCAACAGGAGGCTCAGAGTCTCACCTGTCCATGGGGTCATTGGAGCTGCTGTCATCATTGACCGGCAGACCTAAAGGAGGGCTGAAGGGAGGTGCAGCTTGACCACGGATTTTCCTCTTCACTTCCTCATAATCCACATCAACACAGGAGTTACTGATGTAGCCGACTGCAACAGAAAACACATACAGCTAGCTTTATGACTTTTTATAGTAACAGTCCAGATAGCATATGAACGTGGGCCACTTTAGAGAGTTTTGCAGCACTGGTGGTCTTCCTTCGGCCCTGACAAAATGAATGTGAGCCTGAAGTGGCCCACCTGTACAATGGCAAAGGGGGGCTTAAGATTCAAATTCATATATGGGCCATCTAAGGCAAAGATTTGTCACTTAAGGCAAATTTTAATCTGAATGTGAGCCTAATGTGGCCCATCTGGAAAATGATAAATTTGGCCCAAATGATGGAGAAAAGTGGGCCACAGATGGCAAACATGTGGCATAGTCATTTAAGAGTAATCTGGGTCTAAACCTAAAGTGGCTCACGTGTGTAATAGCAAATGTGGCCCAGTTATCTTAAGACATATGTGTGGGCCACTTTTGGCAAATATTTAGCACAGTAAGCTCTGGCTAATGCCGCTGTGAGCCTAATGTGCCCCAAAGAAAATATGGCAAATGTGGCCCAGTTATCCTAAGACATATGTGAGCCACTTTTGGCAAATATTTAGCGCAGTAAGCTCTGGCTAATCCAGCCGTTAGCCTATAGTGGCCAAGAGAAGATATGGAAAATGTGGCGCAGCTATCCTAAAACATATGTGGGCCACTTTTGGCAAATATTCAACACAGTTAGCTCTGGCTAATGTGGCTGTGAGCCTAAAGCGGCCTAGAGAAGATATGGCGAATGTGGCCCAGTTATCTTAAAGCGTATGTGGACCACATAGACCACGGGTGGGCAAACTCAGTCCTGGAGGCCCTGGCTGTTTCTCCATTCCAAGAACTCAGAGAACGGACTTGTGTTCTTGTGGAGACCGGTCTTGCCAGGTGTCCTCGGAAGAACGAACTCAGGAGACCGCTAGGGCAGAGAACGCGTCCTTTGAGAATTGAGATGCTGTGTTCTTCCTGATCACATGACCTTCACGTGTTTTAAATGGTAAATTATTTAAACATTAAAGCCTTCATACGATTTATTGTTTTTCCTCTTTTCAAAATATATACTTTGCATAAAAACATTATAAATATATGTGGCACAATATAAATAAAACAGACTTTAATACGAATTTCAGCAAACAAACACCCTTAATGTGTTTATTCCTTTATTAAGATGTCCATGGTAATGTTTACTTTCACCGTCTCATTTAGGGAAACTCCTGAGGTAAATAGTTCATATCTATGAACTTTAATAATAAATCTAGATAAAATGCAGCGCTTCCCACCTCCAGTCGCAATGACTTCCGGGATTTCCAGAGCGAGTTCGGTGCTCAAGTCTGCATCGGTGCGTCCTCGATATCAAGATCACATCCGGGAAGTTTCACGCGTCCTCCGTACTTGCGGTATTTTCTTGTGTATTGGAACTGAACTTAAGCAGCTGATGATGACATTTCACGAGAACACGAGGACGCAAGACCGCTGAAGAACACATATTGAGAAACAGCCCTTTTGTCCTGCACAGTTTAGCTCCAACTCTAATCACACACACCTGCGTATAGATTTCCAGTGATCTTGAAGACACTGATTAGCACATTCAGGTGTGTTTAATTAGTGTTGTAACTAAACTATGCAGGACACCAGCCCTCCAGGACCGAGTTTGCCCACCCCTGACATAGACTAAAGACACCATCATGGAGAAAAGCGTTTGCTTTAGTTAGCCCACAGCCCTGAACCTCTTAATATAAATGTTCTTTTGGGCTGCTGTAACATTTAAGAACTTTGCCTGAAAAGTTTATTCATTACAGCAAACAAGCCAAGTACAAAATAAAAACAATAAACTTAAGTGAGACACAACCTGTGATGAAGTAATATAATTCACTGACGTTAACCAAAGTTTAATCCATTACTAAAAGTAACGTAATAACATGCTCGCACATGCCACAGAATTATGAAGCTGTATAAGCTAAAAAATCACAGAGACATCAATAATCAGCTTCTGAACGTCAACAACGGTGATGATTAATAAAATGAACAAAACTCACAAACATCACAAACAGGAGACTAAATGTGAAAATCAACAATGTCAACATAAACAGCAGAATCAAAATCAAATAACTAAAACTGAGGCATCAATAAGCTATAGAACGTATTCATACTGCAATGCATGCTGAGATTTTTGTACTTTGCTACACCAAGCAAGTGTGAGGTATAGGCCAGATCTAGGTCAGAATAGGTTCAGTTCTGGTTCATTTGGTTGAATTCTGGCTAATATGTGATATTGCTATGGCTTATTTGTGGCCCAGATCTGACAAACAGGATTGGACCGCCCTAGAGCCATCATTCCATGCGGTATGTGGGCCAGATGTAAGTGTCTGGTGTGGGCCAGATTTGAGCCACATGAATTTTGCTAGCTGGGAGGCCCCCCTGAATTAGTACCCCCCCCCCCCCCCCCTTTTTTTTTTTCCCCTAATTTCTATTTAACAGAGAGAAGATTTCTTCAACACATTTCTAAACATAATAGTTTTATTAACTCATCTCTAATAACGGCGAGGCAGTAGCGCAGTAGGTAGTGCTGTCGCCTCGCAGCAAGAAGGTCGCTGGTTTGAACCTCGGCTAGGTTGGCGTTTCTGTGTGGAGTATGCATGTTCTCCCTGCCTTCGCGTGGGTTTCCTCCGGGTGCTCTGGTGAAATGGGTAGGCTAAATTTTCCGTAGTGTATGTGTGTGTGGATGTTTTCCAGAGATGGGATGCGGCTGTAAGGGCATCCGCTGCATAAAAAAACTTGCTGGATAGGTTGGTGGTTCATTCTGGTGTGGCGACCCCGGATTAATAAAGGGACAAAGCCAACAAGAAAATGAATGAATGAATTTCTAATAACTGATTTATTTGATCTTTGTCATGATGACAGTAAAAAATATTTGACTATATATTTTTCAAGACACTTCTATACAGCTTACAGTGACATTTAAAGGCTTAATTAGGTTAACTAGGCAGGTTAGGGTAATTAGGCAGGTTATTGTATAACAATGGTTTGTTCATTTTAAAAGCTATCAGGTACAAAAAAATGTATGATTTGTGACCTTAACTTTGATTAATTTTATTGAAATATTTTTATTTTTATCATTCAGTTCCTGTACTTGAATACTGTTTAGACTCTGAAAACGATAAAACACTTCATTTCAACTGTATTTTTTCTTGATTTTATTTATAGATAGTTATGCATGAAAATGCTCACAACACATGCAAATACGAGCGGCAAATGCGGATTTCACCATTTCCGGATGCAAAAGCTCAGGTAAAAATGTTACTTAAAAACGTATTTCAATCGTTCGCACTGTAGTCTACACGTGAATCCAGCTGCATAGCGGGGAAATGAAAACAAAACCTTCGTTGCAGCACATTTATAAACACAACACTGACGACCAGTGTCTCTAAACCAGGGGTCTCAAACTCAATTTACCTGGGGGCCGCAGGAGGCAAAGTCTGGGTGAGGCTGGGCCGCATAAGGGATTTCACAAAAAAAAGTCCTCAAATGTCATTATTAACAGTTTTAATTATTTCTTCTGAACATGAAGTGTCCTGAACATTAATAGAACATTGAGTGAAGATTATGAACAGTTCTTCTGAACATGGCATCTTTTGCCTACTTCTTGCTGCCAGAGACTTGACAGCGCTTCTTCTGACAAATCTGAACCACATTTGGCTTTAGAGTGGAAGCAGTTGAGACCCTCAGTATGGCTTGAAGATGATCATCATTAAGTCTAGACCTGTACTTTGACTTATTGAAGTCCTAGGGAAAAAAGTGGGGGAACTCACTCAAAACTTCTATTCCCTCACCTAAAAAAAGGCGTATATATGTATAAATAAAACACCCCCACCCCACTCCAGTCACATCAGTCTGTACCAGTCTGTATCTACCTATAATATCAACACAATCTCACGGCAATTCGTAACTTTTTCATTTAGTGGCTAATTCGTATGAATTCGTACGATCTAATTCGTGAGATCAGACTGATAATATATATAAGATGCAGGGCAGGCACGTGCACACATAGGGCTCAACCTGTGCAGAGCACATGCCCTTTTTAGTCTTGCATAGAAAGTGCCCTTCCAAAATGATCAAAAGTGCCCCCGCGACGCGACACACCCTCGGTCCCGCCCTTTAGTAGGCGCGCGATAACACCGCTCTTGAGTACGAGCGCGACAACACAGCTGATCAGAACGCGCGCGACAACGCGCATTGAGTGACAAGCGCGCTGTGTACGGATAGAATCAGCGGAGCGGGGAGCGCTCTCTCTCCCCGCTCCACTGATTCTGTCAGAGTACAGCGGTCAGCGCGGGCCACAAAATATTGCACTGAGGGCCGCAAATGGCCCGCGGGCCGCGAGTTTGAGACCCCTGTTCTAAACAATTCTTCTTTCACTTGTTTTGGCAACACAACGTGTCGTCTCTCTGCCATCTGAACACTGTATCGGGTAAAAAGTCTTCGAAGCTATCATGCATATTAATGAAGTTGCAACTCATTCACAATAGAGCGCTACATGGTTTTAACCAAGTCTTTCTCATGGTTTAATGCTGCACACTCACGCGTCACGTTGTACTTGCGAGTACAGACAGCCACTTTCCACGCTGAAATACACACAAGGATCTAGTCGGCGTGACCCAGCTTCAAAAATTCGCAATAACGCAAAAACAAGCAATTTTCACTTTTTAGAAAAATATATGTCCTAACAGTGTTTTTAGCAGCGTGGGACACAAATATGACTGTCAACATCTCAAAAAATGTGTTGTGATGTTTCGCGACCCTTTAAAGTCTACTGCAGGTATCAGGCTGGCTTTGTCACAGACTGGCTTTGACCATTGTAGTGAGCAGTATACATGCAATATCTCAAAGAACCAGACAATAATAATGTAAATATGCTGTATCTATGGGCACTTATATTTACAGTGGCTTTGACTTACTGTTGCCCCTCAGATTTCGCGCCAGCCATTTCCCCTCAGGGTTGTTGCTGACACGGATGATCTCCACGTTTTCCCCATGCTGAACACTCAGGTCATTCTTCCCGCCCTGCCAGTCCTCTCTCACCCGAGCCATGTGGATCACTTCAATGGGTCCGTACAGCTGTGAACACACACCAGAGAACAAACACGCATCTCTGCAGGAGGCACACACACACATTCATGACAAACTGCCTTCAAAATCAGGCAAAGCTTACCTTAAATCTTTTTCTATACTCATTTTCTTGCTTCTGCTTTTCCTTCAGGTCTTTCTCATCCAGTTGTGGCTTTTTAATTTCTCTTATAACTTTCCTCTCAGCAGGAATAGGTCTGAAAGATATAGAAATATTATATTAATATATCCCAAAGTACAGTGTCTGTCACCACATTGTGCCAGATGTATGATAGGGCCAGAGGTCGCATTAAGGCTGATTTATACTTCTGCGTCAAACGCATGCGTATGCTACGGCGCTGACGCATAGCCCTTCGCCTTGGCCGTCGCTGACGTGCACCTCTCAAAAAATGTAACTACACATCGCAAAAACGCGTAGCGCAAGCTCTGTGATTGGTAGCGCTGACGAGTCTGGGCGGGACCGAGAGCCGCGTGAATGGCGCGAGCTCAATGGAGCGATTGTTTACAAGTGTGGAGTCCCGTGAAGGAGCTACGGATGGAAAGTTTTGTTTTGTGTTTACCTCATAGTTAAAGTTGTTGCACTTCCGCCGGTTCCTGCCTCAATATGAGCGAGTTTGAGCCACTTGTACATTCAGGAAGTGTTCAGGAAAAGCAAAACAGCAGCGAAGAAACTCGACACAGAGGAACATTTACACCTCACTGCCCACTAGCGTTACGGAAGTGTAATGCAGACCAACAGAGACAGCGCGCAGAAGTATAAATGCACAGCTACGGGCCTTGCATGTGCCGTGGGTTACGCCGGTCACTTGACGCAGAAGTATAAACCAGGCTTTAGACTTTCTCATTGTCCGTCATTTTGACAGAGAGGGTTGTAAAAATTCTGTCATAATTATTATTGATTATTATTGTTATTATTATTATTATTATTGATCGTTATTTAATTTGCAGACCTTCTAATCGCTTTTTTCATTCATATTTTAATAATAAACTTGCACAACGAGCATACAGGCTAAATTATTCATTTATTTATTTAACAAATGAACAAAAACTCCTTTCTGCCTTAACTCATATCTTCCTCCTGCGTCGACCTGAACTGGGTGCTTGCCTGTGCGTAATCAAACGTATCAAGGGAGACTGATGCAGAGGCAGTTGTCATTAAATTCTTTGTCTTTGCCTCGGAAAGTCGACTTCTCGTGACCAAAGACCGGAATTACTAGCGCCACTTCAGCCAGCGTTTTGTAGATAGGAAACATTTCTCCTAAGGCTGTGATCAGAACTAAGTTTGCTGGATTCTCTGAATGTGGGATTTCCCGATCCTGCAAGCACTCGTTTCACCGGGGAAAAAAATACTACAGCACGCGCTCCTTCAGCAACATGCGTGCAGCTGCACCTCTGCGTTCGGTAGTGCTCACAACACACACCAAAGCAGCTGACCTCCTTGGTTGGCTTGAAACAGCTGTCGACAGGATTTTGTCTGTTTGTTCTTCATCATCCACAGCATCACTTCCTCTTTTTTTCACCTTTATTATTAATATCACAACTATTTGGCCGTTTAAAGAAACTTCTCACACTCAGCTGCTGTGAGATTTTTGAAACTGTACGCAGCGGTGACAAAGAGGAGACAAAACAAGGACAATCGCCATCAGCTGGACAGGATTGGGAATTACAGTTAGCTACAAATTACAATAGATCACCCTCAGCATAATCAAAATGACGGATCACCTTCAGATTTTTCCGTCACTGCTGAAAAATCCGCCAATGACGGAAAATATTCGGTTAACGCGACCTCTGGATAGGGCACTAGATTTATTGGTAACACTTTACAATAAGGTTCATTAGTTAATGCATTTACTAACATGAACTAATCATGAACAACACATGTACAGCATTTATTAATAATAACTGAACCTTTACTAATGCATTATGAACATCCAAGTCTATGCTTGTTAACATTAGTTAATGCACCATGAGTTAACATGAACTAACAATGAACTACTGTATTTTCATTAACTAACGTTAACTAACATGAACAAATACAGTCGTAGATTTATTGTTCTTTGTTTGTTCATGTTAGTAAATGCATTAATTAACATTAACTAATGAACCTTATTGTAAAGTGTGACCGATTTATTTATTAGCTATAGAGTAAGATACACCATGTTAATGTGGTAATGTTTATGGCATCACTATTATGAGCATGTCTAGAGTTTCAGTAATGGTCTGATTAGGCTGCAGATTTTTGCACGGCAGATGTTGTGTAAACAAACAGTTATAATTTACCTGTCTGGATCTTCATAAATGTCCTGATCGCTGTCCTGCAATGCAATAAAACAGCACGTTATAGCACACTGCAGCACTGTAACCTCTGCACAAACACAATTCTCTCTCTCAGTCCTTTATACACACAAAAACAGACTAACCTCATTATGTGAAAGGTGAGACCATGTGTCTGCAACACAAGAAATATATGCTGTATTAGTATTCTTTTCTTACAGAACGATCCCCTACAACCTCCAAACAAAAGGAGAACAGAAACTAATGCTATGCTATATCTGTACCGGTCTTTTTAGGCTTTTTAATTGCAATGTGGTGGACCGGTGGTTTCTTACTGGTGGTTTTAAAGATATAACCCACAAGAATTTTTGACAAGTGGTCCTTTTGTATAAATCTAAAATGCTTTAGCATCTGCTTTTCTTGCCCACCAGGTGAAAACTATATATTTATATTTATTCTTACCTTTTGATTTTGGAGGTGGAGGGGGTGGAGGAAGCGCGTCATCGTAGGTTTCCTGATCTTGCCCCATGTTCCTAATCCAGACAACACATGTACATGAGTATTAGATGATAATAATAATAATAATAATAATAATAATAATAATAATAATAATAATAATAATAATAATAATAATTTGATGGCGCAATAGCCTTGTGGTTAGCGTGCTGACATGACCCGAGTATGCGACCCGAGTAGTGTGTCCGAATTCATAGAATTTGAAAATCAGTATGCGAGAAATACCCGGATGACTTACTACCTCCAGCGAGATTCTGGAGTGCGCATCCCATGCATGCTGCGCTAATGGGAGTAAAGCAACGCAACTGAGTCACATGACCATGACAAAATGGCGAATGTAGTACATGCGAATTCCATTCATACTTTTCACATTCACACTATATTGAACGCACTTTTCTAATGGCCGAGTAGTACGTTTAAATTTAAATGCAGTACCTACTGAGTAGTAGGCGGTTTCGGACGCAGCCAGAGTGATGAAGCCAATTATGATATGGGGATGGTCAGGAGGCCTTGATGGACAGGAGCCAGTGGGCAAATTTGGGAATTTTTAACAGCCACAGAGAGTCAGGACCTCAGTTTAATGTCTCATCTGAAAGACGGCGCTCACTGAGCAGTATAGAGTCCCCTTCACTATAATGGGGCATTAGGACCAACACAGATAGCCATGTTAAGCGCCCCCTGCCAGCCTCACTAACAACACTTCCAGCAGCAACCTAGCTTTCCCATAAGGTCTCCCATCAAGATACTAGCCGAGCACAGCCTTGCTTAGCTTCAGTTTGTGACCATCAAACTCACATATACTAACCCAATCAAACTCACAATACAATGCTTGCTACCCCCTACTCTTTCTCTCCAAATTCGCTTTCTGTCTCAACACTGTCCTATCTAAAAAAGACAAAAAATAAATCTTAAAAAGAATAATAATAATAATATTAATAAACCCTTACATTTATATAGTGCTTTTTTTAGACACTCAAAACGCTTTACACATTGAGGAGAATCTCATCATCCACCTTGATGACGCGACAGCAGCCATATTGGTGGAGAGGAGACAGAGGCTGCGTCTGAAACCGCATACTTCCATACTATACAGTACGCTAAAATCAGTATGTGAGCTGAGTAGCATGTCCGAATTCATAGAATTTGAAAATCAGTATGCGAGAAGTACCCGGATGACTTACTACCTCCCGCGAGATTCTGGAGTGTGCATCCCATGCATGCTGCGCTATCCCATGATGCCCCGCGAGCGAATTCATGAATGGGAGTAAAGTAACGCAACTGACGCAAGTAAGTCACATGACCATGACAAAAATGGCGGATGTAGTACATCCGAATTCCATTCATACTTTTCACATTCACATCTATATTGAACGCACTTTTCTAATGGCCGAGTAGTACGTTTAAATTCAAATGCAGTACCTACTGAGTAGTAGGCGGTTTCGGACGCAGCCAGAGAGATGAAGCCAATTATAATATGGGGATGATCAGGAGGCCATGATGGACAGAAGCCAGTGAGTGAACTTGGGAATTTTTAACAGCCATAGAGAGTCAGGACCTCACTTTAACGTCTCATCTGAAAGACAGCGCTCACTGAGCAGTATAGAGTCCCCTTCACTATAATGGGGCGTTAGGACTAACACAGATAGCATGTTGAGCGCCCCCTTCTGGCCTCACTAACAACACTTCCAGCAGCAATCTAGCTTTCCCATAAGGTCTCCCATCCAGGTACTGACCGAGCGCAGCCTTGCTTAGCTTCAGTGTGTGACCATCATTCTCACATATACTAACCCAATCAAACTCACAATACAATGCTTGCTAATCTGAGCTGGTTTTTTCATAATCTACATAAATAATCATTAATATCTATTAATACCTGCAAAGAACCTTTAGCACTAGATCCTAGGACATATGGCACAGTGAATGCAAATATTTATTGATGAGTGATGTATTTTTATTACTGTCGTAAAAGACCATTTGCTTTCTACTTGAAATTTCTCCTAGGGATGATTCTGGACAGAACAGCAGGGGCGTTTTTATCAAAGGTTATTGAGATTTGCATACATAGAGTTTAGTTATTAATTCAGTCAGACTTACTGACAACAATCATTATTCAGATTTTAATATCAATACAGTAGGATAAAAACAACCACTTTGCTGCACAATACACAATAATCTAAGTTGGTTTCTAAAGAATCTACATACAGAGTCAGGAAATGCCACAGTGCATGCTTTACACCCACATACTTCCAGCAAAAGATTGCACTATAAGGTGCATGCACGAATTGATGCAACAGAATGGAAGATGTTGTGTTCGATTCAGAATTATCATCATTTTCAGCTTCGGAGATACAGTACAGACAGAGAACAAAATGATCCAGCGGTGATAGATTTTACACAAATTTAACTGTTTTCTTTCTCTTTGGCAAGCCAGACAACAATGTATGGTCAACCTTGTATTACTCACAATTCTGAAATGGGTTTTGTGAACAGGCTGGGTTTGTTTGGGGGTCTTGCTGGTCCTGATAAGAAAAAAATACATATCAAGACAACATTTTCCTGTGACCTACTTCAAAGTCTTATTTAATATAGAATGGAAAGAGTTGTTAAGTCCATGGGTTAACTATTAATTCATGTAAACAACCACTGCAGTAGTTCATATAAACCAATAAATGCAAATGTTCTTTGATGACTACTGTTTTGTAAATGCTATAAAAGACTGAAAAGGCAGTTTTAGACAGAAAATGGCTCCTACCTTTTATAATGTGTGATTCCACTGGTCTTTTAGGAAGAACAATGGGGGTCTTTTTCCGAAACTGATCAAGATTCACAGATGGAGGACGTTTTGGCTTTGATGGTCGCTGTCCGACATTGGGCATTGGCTTCCTTAGTGGTACTACTTCTGAAATGCTCCTCTGGTGCGGCAGTGGTGGTTTGAAAGTCAATTTCATGTCATTTTGCTGTTTTAGTATCTTGTTCTGAAGAATTTCTCCTGTCAGTTTGACTCTGCTTGGCACACTGACCTCCGCAGGGAGCTCTGTAGAACTTTCCTGAGCTCCAAAACGATGAGATGGAGGAGGTCTCGGGAACACTCCTTGAGGACCCGACTGAAACATCTTTGCTTCACTGAAAGAGTTCACAGGAAGGTTTGGTCTTGGAGGCACAGCTGAAATTTTGCTTCGGAGCACTCCATTGGTTAGAGATTCTGGCATTGCACCAATTGGGTGCGGTTTGATAGCGATTCCACCTCCGGAACCTGCCATTTCTAACTGAGCATGAAATCTGGCCCGGAGGGCCTTGACATCCACATTTTCCTCCTATAAATAAATAGATTCTGGTCAAGCTCTAGTACCACTGAAATAGTGGACAAACATTAAAAAAAGACAGTAAAAATTATATGGTAAAAAACTATACTGGGCTCCTTTAAGTGCGGTTTATTCATAAACTAATTTCGAGAGGATCACGTGCTTATAATCAACACGGCTCGCTCCTTGTTAGCTCCGTAATCAGCCCTATTAGATAATTAGGGAAGCATTATAAATAGCCTGAGTATTTCACCCCAGTTATCTTCGTCTTGAAGCCCCCCCCTTCCACCCCTACATCCTCCCACTTTTTCTGATCGGGCGACACAGTGGCCCAGTGGCTAGAACTGTTGCCTCACAGCAAGAACACCGCTGGTCTAACCCACTGGGCCGGTTGGTGTTTCTGTGTGGAGTTTACATCTTCTCCCCGTGTTTGCGTAGGTTTTCCCCGGGTTCCCCGGTTTCCTCCCACCGTCCAAAAAACATACACCATAGCCAATCGACTAAAACAAATTATCACCCAATACAACCTTAGTTTACACTTCTCACGGTGACAAGCAGGGGAGTTCTCGAGACCTACCTGACCTCGAATTCCCTTCTCGCCCTTCTAACGGGAGGGAGCCCCGGGCTCGAGGATATTAAGAGCTCAGGGCTCTCTCCTGGGACAGCATGCCAAATACGCTCTATTGATTATCAGCTAAGTGTGAACTCTTGAAATAACTGAGAAGTCTATAGAGTGGAGGAAGGCCGCTAGCATAAAACTGGTTCGCTCGATTAAATCCCTATAGGATTTTCCCATAGGCTTTTCGAAGATTGCAAATAATAAGCTCTGTGTTCCAACACTGTTCATTACACTTGAATGTTTTGTCCAGATGGATAATCCTCACACAAAAATACAACTTTGAGCACTCCTGGATCTTAAATGCAAATGCAAGAATTGAAAAGCTAACATTAGGCTATAAACAAACTAAAGTGCCTTCGGGGCGCTTGCCTGTGACGTCAGCCCCACCCTGATACAGACAACTTTTCAAGCTTATTTTCAAAAATATTGTCCATGACAGAGTTAATCTCTCTGTTTATTATATTATAATCCACGTTATATATTCTAAACAAATAAATATGCAAAAACACATTGACCTACGTGCCTTCTGGATCATTTTACGTGGGAAATACATCTGCTTTGCTTTACGGTTGTTGTAAAAGTTTTAAAACAGTATGTGCCAACATATCATAAGACATATTTAAATGTGTTTCGCTCAGCGTTTCACTAGCAATAAAACAGTTAAACAAAGCATCTACAGTACGAGAATGAGTCTCCCCATTATTTACTTTCACTTTAACTCTCGTAGGGAGGGAAACCTTGTACGCACAGACATCCATTAGCCTATACATAATTATTTTTATTTATTAAGTGCAACGATTTGTTTCAAAACTATTTCTAAATTCAGTTCTAATAAATAAATAAACAGTAATAACGAAGTGTGTTCAAAAAACTGAGTTATATCCAAATACACATGCTGTACCCCATATATATATATACATATAATACTACTAATAATAACAAAAGCAAATTGCAACAAAAGCAAATTGTCATGAATAAACTAAAAAAGCCCCCCAAGATGAAGAAGGCATGGAAGTATTTTTTTTTATATTTATGTAGGCTAGAAAATAATATTTTTTGAAATATTTTAATCCTTTATATTTATATCCTATATATATATATATATATCCTTAATATTTTAATTATTTTTCATTTGTGTTAAACAGAAGAAATAAATTGCTAAAGATCATTAGAATTATTAAAATGTGAGTAAATAGTGAGTAAAGTGTCATATTTTAGGTGAACTATATCTTTAAAAAGCTAATTCCAATCTATTACTATGCTGATATCTGATATGTGCTGAATGTTCAATTTTCCTAAAAACCCAATAAAAACTCCCACAGATTAATATTGGATTTTCAGGATGATCTGAACTCTCCTTAAAACCCTTAACCAGGACTATGAACAGAATTCTTCAAATAAAGGTGATTTCTTTGCAATGTTCTTTAGAAAGGTAACAGATTTGATTCGGGATAACATTTCTGCTGTTGTTCTCCATAACTAGTATATCAACAAATTAACAAAGCTTAACTGTTTAATTTAAATTTGACATTTTTACATCAAACAGTCCACCCCCTCCTCCCTCTCCCATTTCTCTAAACTAACCACAGTCACTGAGAAACCGGATGCACACAAGCTTTAAGGTCAAATGAAATATATTGTATACTGCATATAACGAGGTGGAAAATAATATATTAAGTGACATTAACATTCATTTCAAAAGCAAAACATGAAACAAAACTGAAAACTAGACTAGTATTTTTTGCGATAGCTGTTGGAGCAGCAGTACTGTTTAGCCAACAAGTCAAACAATCTCAACATCCGTAATATAAAATGCAGATATAAACAAACCGGCATAACCTTGAACAAGCTGCTTAGTGTTTTTTTATATTAACTATTAGTTACAGCAGAAATAAATATGCATTCACACATAATTATGGTTGAAAATGTCAACTTGGGCGAAGCAGTGGCGCAGTAGGTAGTGCTGTTGCCTCACAACAAGAAGGTCGCTTGGTCGCTGGTTCGAACCTCGGCTCAGTTGGCGTTTCTGTGTGGAGTTTGCATGTTCTCCCTGCATTCGTGTGGGTTTCCTCCGGGTGCTCCGGTTTCCCCCACAGTCCGAAGACATGCGGTACAGGTGAATTAGGTAGGCTAAATTTTCCACAGTGTGTGAGTGTAAATGTTTTTGGCTGGAAGGGCATCCGCTGCTTAAAAACTTGCTGCATAAGTTGGCAGTTCATTCCGCTGTGGTGACCCCAGATTAATAAAGGGACTAAGCCGACAAGAAAATGAATGTCAACTTTCTCTCAAGTATTCAAAGATCACCTTTCACCAATTGCCAGATAACAAAAATTAGACCTGTTATGAAAATTATCACTTTTATAAGGGGTATTGTGTGGCAAGTCTGTGAATACAGCCAGCCTCTAATGCTAAAAATTACAATTTTTAAATTAACGACCCCCCCCCACCCCCCCTTCACACCTACTTCCTCCCCCTTTTGCGAATGGGGTGACACGGTGGCCCAATGGCTAGCACTGTTGCCTCACAGCAAGAACACCGCTGGTCCGACCTCCTATCTGGCTGGTTGGTGTTTCTGTGCAGAGATTACATGTTCTCCCCATGTTTGCGTGGGTTTCCCCCGGGTTCCCCGGTTTCCTCCCACCGTCCAAAAACATAAACCATAGCCAATCGACTAAACCAAATTATCACCTAATACAACCTTAGTTTACACTTCTCACGTGGCGACAAGCAGGGGAGTTCTCGAGACACACCTGAGCTCGAACTCCCCTCTCGCCCTTCTAACGGGAGGGAGCCCCGTGCTCGAGGATATTACGAGCTCAGGGCTCTCTCCCGGGACAGCAAGCCAAAAACGCTTTATTGATTATCAGCTAAGTGTGAACTCTTGAAATTGCAGTTGTTGCTGCTAAGGGTGGCACAACCACTTTTTTTTGTTTTACTTTAATATTGAAAACCTTCAATTCAAAACTCCGTAATTTGTTTACTCTTATAATATTTAAATTAGCTTGATGATCAGAAACAATAAAATGTGACAAACATACAAAAAACAAACAAACAAAAAAACAGTAAGGGCAAAGAGTTTTTTTATTATACCACTGTTTTTCATTAGAGAAGTAGCCAATTTAACCAGTTCCTTTGGGCTTTAATCAATATCAGATGACTCCCTAGAAAATGACCATTCTGAGTTAATTATTTGCAGTTCAGTAAAGTTAGACTGCTGTGTTTAGGTGAGCTGATTTGTGCTTTGTGAGAAAGAAACTGTTGAGAGAAACTGGGTCAAACACACGGTTGAAGCACTGATGGCTTCTGTCGCATAAACATCCATATACAGAACATCTGACCTTGTAGGTGCTTCACCACACAATATTAACTAGATCAAAAACGAAAAAGACTGTTTGCATGCAGGCTACAGGTGTGAATGTTGAAAACAAATGTCAAAATTCTGAAAACTGAATATCATAATCAACTAAAAGTATCATTATTTTGCAAAAATGTAGTGCAAGCACAGTAAAAGTATCTGTTGTACAGTAAATACTACACAAAGTATGTGTAACTACACAAAGTTTTTTAGGAGCTACTAAAAAGTAGCCCCTAAAAAAGTAATAAGAAGTAGTGAATATTACTTTGTGAAAAGTATTTCAGCATATCCCCTACATGTTAAAATTGTAGCTCATATCATAACCAATAACTTTTAAAGGTGTTTTAAGTGTACATTAAATTATTTGGCAATCATAGACTGGCAATTTAAAATGTGAGATTGATTTAATATGAGAACACATTACTTTAATATACACTCACTGGCCACTTTATTAGGTACACCTTACTAATACGGGGCTCGACCCTGTTTTGCCTTTAGAACTGCCCTAATCCAGTGTGGCATAGGTTCAGCAAGGTACTAAAAATATTCCTGAGAGATTTTGCTCCATATTGACATGATAGCATCACACAGTAGCTGCAGATTTGTCAGCTGCACATCCATGATGCGAATCTCCCGTTACATCACATCTCGAAGGTGCTCTAATGGATTGAGTTCTGGTGACTGTTGAGGTCGTTTGAGTACAGTGAACTCGTTGTCATGTTCAAGAAACCAGTCTGAGATGATTTGTGCTTTATGACATGGCGCATTATCCTGCTGGAAGTAGCTATCAGAAGATGGGTGCACTGTGGTCATAAAAGGATGGACATGGTCAGCAACAACACTCAGTGTTGAAATGAAGCTCAATTGGTACTAATGGGCCCAAAGTTTGCAAAGAAAATATCCCCCACACCATTACACCACCACCACCAGCCTGAATCGTTGATACAAGGCAGGATCCCTACTGAAAAAAACAGCTTAAACCAGCCTAGGCTGGTTAGCTGGTTTTAGCTGGTCGACCAGGCTGGTTTTAGAGGGGTT